GGGGGTATGTGGATTTTAATTTTGAGGGAGGGATGGGTAAGAGGGGGAGGAAGAGTTGGACAGCGGCCTCAGAGATTAAGTAGTAAACTGAAGTTCCTTGAAATGGGGCTCATCAGTATCAAGGGCAGAAAAGGTTTGAGGTGAGCCCAGATTCCATATGCATGTGGTTTCTTTGTAGTTGAGTTTTTCTTTAGTGTTTTTATTTTTGTTTTTTTTTACTATCTCGATGCCTTGAAGAGCTGCATATCAGTGGTTCAGTTAAATTGTGCCCAGGGCTTTTAAGTGTAGGTCAACTGGAGTGCAGGGATGTTTTTGTGCAGAGTATCCCAGGTTGTTGAATGAGCCCGGTTGTGATTTGACCTACATAATGGGCTCAGCATAGTTTACCCGTCATTGTATGCAATTGCTGCTATTATTGCTGCTTTTGTTGTTGCTGCTGTTCTTTTAGTCATAGTTTTTCTCTGTATTAAGCAGTGCAAAAAAGAAGTTTGTCTTTAACTTATTTTGTCCTCTTTTCTTCCCCTGCAGAGGATTTTGTCTTGATCTTTGGGGCTCCACAAGCAGATGAGAAACGTGAGGAATCGAGAAAGAGAGGTAATTAGTACGTAAGCCTGGGAGAGACCAGTTGGCGATGACGAAAAAAAACTTTCGAGACAAAAAGGTCTTTGGGGGCCGATTCTGGGTTTGTATGACTGCAGTGAGCTATCGATTACTTCTTATTAACAATAGCAACATCATTTGAAATCAGATGGAAACTTCTTGTGCCGTCAAAGTTTGTCAAAGTGGTTATGCTACCGGACTAGTTAACGTGAGGTTGCGGGTTCGGGGGTTCGAGCCTCAAGCTCGACGTTGTGCGCGTCCAAAGGAAAGGCACTTTGCTCTAATTTTCCTCACTTCACCAAGGTGTGAATGGGCACAGCGCCATAGATATCGAAGGATCTTGTCAGTATGTTAGTGCTTTAGCGCATATAAAATAGCAGCTTACACTGTGTGCTTCCCAGAAAGTTGCGATTAATTCAGAATGCTAACATGTCTGCTGTAAATGTCTACACGTGTTATAAATACAACTTTTGTCTTA